TATATGTATATCTATGTATATGTATATGTATATATATGTATATCTATATATATGTATATATATATGTGTATATATATATATGTGTATATATATATATGTGTATATGTATATATGTATATATGTATATGTGTATATGTATGTATATATATGTGTATATATGTGTATATGTATGTGTATATATATGTATATATATATATGTATGTGTGTAATATAATGTGTGTAATAAAATGAGTCCTGTTTTGTCCCTGACTCGGTGTGAAATGTTGTATTATAGAGTAAATGAAATGCTGATCCGTGTTTCAGATCAGTAACTACCAGGGTCCGGCCCGGGTCGTGGTCCAGCTGGTGACAGCGCTGACCCCCAACCCTCAGCTTCACGCTCACAGTCTGGTGGGGAAACAGTGTGACAAAGGGATCTGCATCACCGACCTGCAGCCCAAAGACTCCACCATCAGGTCTGCAGCACACACACACACACACACACACGTTGCACCATCAAACGCAGGTGTGTGTAAACCCGCCAGGTGTGAGACTCACAGGTGTGTTTCTCTCATAGTTTCCCCAACCTGGGCATCCTCCATGTGACGAAGAAGAACGTGGCCAAGACTCTGGAGGAGAGGATGGTCGAGGCCTTCCGGCTGGGATACAACTGTGGGGTCTCCATCCATGTGGACATCGACGCTCTGCAGGGGGAAGTCAGGGTCCCCAGAGACCTCACCGGTCAGTGTGTGTGTGTGTGCGTGTGTGTGTGTGTGTGTGCGTGCGTGCGTGTGTGCGTGTGCGTGTGCGTGTGTGTGTGCGTGTGTGCGTGTGCGTGTGCGTGTGCGTGCGTGCGTGCGTGCGTGCGCGAGCGAGCGAGCGAGAGACTGTACTGGTGACTTTGAGAAGACCTGTTGAAGTTTCAGACCTTGAGAGGACATATTAGAAGGGGACATTTTAGGAAAGTGAGGACATCTTTAATCTAACAAACTATCATCTTTATTTTCTGTCTTATTATTATTTTGTTTTTTTTCTCACCTTGTCTTTAAATGAACGTATGTCCGTCTCTCTGTCTTATTATTATATATTATTTTTTTGTCCTCTCTGTCCTCAGATCACCAGCGCAGTGTGATCAGCAGCGCGGCGTCTCTTCAGGCTAAAGAAATGGACCTCAGCGTAGTTCGGCTCATGTTCACAGCGTTTCTCCCAAACAGTGACGGAGGATTCACCAGAAGACTGGAGCCCGTCGTGTCTGATCCGATCTACGACAGCAGTGAGTCTGAACACAGTTACCATGACTACTTTAAGGTCCCAGACTGGTGTAAGGTCCCAGACTGGTTTAAGATCAGAGACTGGTTTGAGATCCCAGACTGGTTTGAGATCCTATGGTTTCAGTTTTACAGATCTGTTGATTAAATAAACTAATCGATAAGTAGATTAAAGAATATCTTTAGTGGAGGAAAAGCCCTCACTGTTCAGTTCTGGTCCTTGAACCATGATGGACCGTCCATCATAACTTTGTTGTCCTTTAAAAGCTTCTCTCTGCTTCAGGACTGTTTCATGGTGTCTCGGTGTTTCCTGTGTCTTCAGCTCTACTTTATTAAACTGTGATCACACCCTCCTCGTGTCTGAGGACCGCTCAGGGTCGGGTCGCCTGGTTTCATTTCCCTCTTCCTGCTGATTTGGTTTCCGTACGCTGCAGCAACTTCCTGTCAGAACTAAAAACAATCATCACTTCACCACCGTTCTGCACTTTCACTTTAGAATCCAGACTCAAACTGGAGAGTTCAGCTGTGTTTTAATCTCCAAAAGTGAAGTTGTCCCCGAGAGGCTGCAGAGTTGAATGGAGAGTTTCGAATGTTTCACTTCAAAGTTGATTTAGAGTCACTTTGTTGAACTCATTCAGATCCTCAAAGAGGTTCTCTGAGATATTTAATACAAATTACATTTAGTTTAAAGAGAAATTGCCGGCAACAGCTGTGTCCAGAGGCATCCTGGTTTCAGGTTGTTAGTCCATCCGTCCCAAGTTTTTGGTCAGAACTCAAGACTTCATATGAGAATTCATAAGACGTCAATGTAAATGTGATCTGTTAAATCATAAACGCAGTGAATATGTTGGTTTTGAAAGGCTAAACGCCAACAAATATAGATTGAAGCAGAATAGTTCGTGAGATAACAAACATGTTGTTAACTTTGGAATATTAGTAGGATATTATAGATATATATAATATTATTATGATCTATCTTCTTGTGCCTCCGCGCCGGTAACAGCCATTACCAGCATTATGTTCTCGGGTTGTCCGTCTGTCCGTCTCATTCTCAAGAACGTGAAATCTTAGGAAAACCTTGAGAGAAATTATTTTAATTGGGCAGAATATAATCTGAATTTTGGCTTCATTTCAGCTCAGTTTGAGTCTTGAGTTGTTTCTTCATGGCTGGGAATCGAACCTGCGGCCCTTCTGTTGTCTCCACTGACCGACCCGCTGTGTTTCTCTTTCTCCCCTTTAGAGGCTCCGAACGCCTCCAACCTGAAGATTGTGCGGATGGATCGAACCGCTGGCTGCGTGAGCGGAGGAGAGGAGGTCTACCTGCTCTGTGACAAAGTCCAGAAAGGTGAGACGGGATTTAAAGACACAGCGACACCGAAACACAAACGCACCGTTTTATACATAAAACCCACAAAGTTCAGTCTCAGTCTCAGCTCTGATTCATCATGAGGCTTTTTCTTCTTCTAGTTTCTGTAAAGATTTTCCATTTTCACTTTTACATCAGCTCGATAACAGTTTCTCCACTAGTGACATCATGAGTGTATGAAATGTAAATAAAGGTGTCGTATCCGCTGATGTCGCCACCTGCTGGAGAGTTTGTTAAATCCTCCTTACACGTGTGTTTAAAGCGGCGTTGAGCAGATAGGACTGTTTGTTTTAAACTTTACTTAGGCGGAATAAGTTTCGTTGTGTTTAGTGGGTTTAGTGTAATAGTGTGTGTGTGTGTGTGTGTGTGTGTGTGTGTGTGTGTGTGTGTGTGTAGATGACATCCAGGTTCGATTCTATGAAGAAGACGACTCGGGGGTCACCTGGGAGGCTCTGGGAGATTTCTCCCCTACAGACGTCCACAGACAGGTACAAGGAGTTAGTAGTACCACTGTTAATCGTAGTCACACAAGTAGTATTAGTTGTTATTTTAATCTAATAAAAAAGGAATAAATAGATGTAGTAGTAGATGAATATTAATGTTGAAGTGTGGTGATAGAAGTGTAGTAATGGCATAAATAAATAGAGGTCAAAATATAATAGTTGTAGAATCATCAGTAGCAGCTCTTATAGTAATGGTAGTACGAGTATCACATGTAGCAGAAGCAGTAAAAGTATTCGTAGGTTAAAGTATCAAGTTGGGCTGGGCAATAATAATAAAACAATATCTTAATATTAGTAGTAAAGCAGTAGCTCTAGTAGCAGTATTGGTTGTATCAGTAGAAGTACAGTCGTCAAAGCCATAAGATCAGGAGTTGATGGCAATATCGACGCTACCGTGACGACGTGTTCTCTGCCGTCAGTTCGCCATCGTGTTCAAGACTCCGAAGTATCGCGACCAGAACCTGCAGAAACCGACGTCAGTGTTCGTCCAGCTGAAGAGGAAGTCTGACAACGAGACCAGCGAACCTAAACCCTTCACCTACCACCCTCAGATCATAGGTAGGTCAGGTAGCTCCGCCCTCAGATCACAGGTAGCTCCGCCCTCAGATCGCAGGTAGGCAAGTGATCGCAGGTAGCTCACCTGTGCTCATATGCATGTACCTGTGTGTTCAGACAAGGAGGAGGTGCAGAGAAAGAGACAGAAGACGTTGCCAAACTTCCAGGACTTCAGCGGTCATGGAGGAGGTGCAGGTCTATACCGAGGAGGAGGAGGTGGAGGAGGTCCTGCTGCAGGAGGAGGACCCGGCTCTACAGGAGCAGGAGGAGGTAAAATTAGCCCGGGTTACCACACACCTGGAAAACCTAGAAAGTCATTGACAGTTCAGAACAATAGAAGATAAAACTGTCAACTGATGTTGTGGGTGTGTTTGATTTGTCCACCAGGTTACTTCCAGGGCTTAACTACCTACAACTATGGAGCAGGAGGAGGAGGAGGAGGTTTCTCCACCGGATACTCAGCTGGTCTGGGAGGAGGAGGCATCAAACACGGTGAGAAGTAATGACACAAAGTTTGTTTACGATCGACTGAAGCGGACACGGATGGTACGTTTTAAAATGTAGGGCGTCTCGTTGGCCGCTCCTCATTTGCATAAAATTGAGGTCTAGGCTACTTCATGCAAATCACGGGTGTCCCAACGCAACTCACCGCCTCTGGAAACTCTCAAAACACTTTTACACTCAAAGTTTCAGTAACTGCGTTATTTCTCGCCTCAAAAGTCTCAAATCAATGAATTAATTTCTTAACATAAGAGGAAGTTTACAAACGACCTGCCCAGTTTTTTTTTATCATTGTTTGAGATCCTTTTCAGCTTTAACAGTCTTTTCATTCATCACACCACTAAATATACATTCATCTAAACCAAAGGAAATGTCATGATTGTTAACTGTAAAATCAAAGACTTATGGCGAAAGGAAACAAATGTTGTGTTAAAGACTCTGAGAGCGACGCAGCAGACGACAGCGATCCAGACGATGACTCGGGGTCGGGGGTCGTGCTGAGAGCTGCGGCCCAGCCGGGAGGCCTGGATGTGGGGGAGAGGACTGAGGAGGGAGGGGTCAGCGTGGAGGAACCAGAACCACACAGAGGTACACATCTGCTGCTGCCATCGCTGTACACACTGTGTGTATACACACATTATCAACTGTAACTTAGAGTTTAATCAAACACAACAGATGATCAGAGATTCGTTCAGGATATTTTAACTCAAGACACGATGAGTCTAAATGCTAAACATGCAGCGATGAGATGAGATGGAACTTTATTTATCCAAAAAAAACAATTCTTGTGCCAGAAGGAGATGAAAGATTACAACAGAAGAATAACAGGAACAGTAGAATAAATCTATGAACAAACAGAGTAATGAGTATTAAGTGTCAAAGAAGTAATACTGCAGCAGCTAAGGAGATGAAACTTTATTTTCTTGAATTGATTTCTACCCAGTAACATGAAACATAAAAGGCTGAAACGTTAAACTTCGTTCTAAATACAAAACGTTTCTTTGTGCTTTAAATGTTTTCATACTTTGTGTTTTATGTGTATTGTGCTGCCTTACAAAGTGCATCTAAAAATCAGCTCTGCTCCTGTTGCATTAAAAAAAATAGATTGAAGCAAAAACAATGTTTTCCTTTCTGTTAGAATTCTCTTTTTGTGTGTGATGCAGATGAGCGGTCGGTTCAGGCGACCGGCCGACAGTTGGAGGCTCTGTTTCAGTACTCGGTCACCGGAGACTCTGCGTATCTGTTGGCCGCACAGCGCCAGCTAATGACGGCTCAGGACGAGGACGGAGACACGTCAGTACAAAACATAAATAACTCACTTTAAACCTCTACAGCTTATTTTATAAAAACCTTTTTATAGCTCAGATTGATCCTTTTAATTCACTCCGTTCACTTCCCTCTCCTTCCAGTGGGCTCCACCTGGCCGTCCTCCACAGCCAGCAGGAGGCGCTGAAGAGTCTGACTCAGGTGGTCTCTGCTCTGCCTGGAGAGGAGGTGCTCAACACGAGGAACAACCTGTACCAGGTAGAAGGAAATGCACTGTTTCCTAGCAGCAAGGATGCCTCCTACTCTTAGAACAGGAACACATAAACAATAGACTTTCTAGTTGGGGAGTGAGAGATAACAAAGCTCTCTGATTGAGAGGGAGAAGGAGCAAGAAGGAAACTCACTTAGGAAGCTAGGAGCAAAGATGTTTTCTTATTAGGGAACAAGGAAATGACCTCCGTAAGGAAAGGAAGCTTGCTGGTTAGGGAGCCATTGAGCGAGGACGTTGACTGGTTTGGGATCATGGGGCAAGAGAAGATTTCTAGTTAGGGAGCAAGGAAGCTTACTCGATGCAAAGCAAGAAAGGAAACTTACCCTGAAGGCAATTACAAAGGAAGTAACTAAGTTAGTGGGCAATAAACAAGTTAGTGACCATTTAAGGAGCAAGAAAGGTTTCTTTCTATTTTGGGAGCAATGAAGGAAGCTTTCTATTTTGGAAATAAAAAAGGAAGCTTCCTATATAGGGGGTGAGGAAGCAAGAAAGTAACCTACTTAGGAAGCAAAGAAGCAAAGACGTTCTCTAGATTTAGAAACCAAGAAAATTACCTTGGTAAGGAGGGTAAGATGCCTTGTTAGGGGGCAACGAGCAAGGATGCTTACAAGTTAGCGATCAAGGAGTTAGTAGTTACAAGGAAGCTTGCTAGTTTTCGAGGAAGCATTAGTAAAAGAATCTCTCCATGTATCCCAGACTCCTTTGCACCTGGCCGTGATCACCCAGCAGAGGGAGGCGGTGGAAGCGCTGCTATTGGCCGGTGCAGACCCAACTCTGACCGATCGTAATGGAAACACGCCGCTCCACCTGGCGTCCCGGCTGGAAGGAGGAGGAGGAGGAGGAAGAGGAGGGATGGTCCAGTTTCTACTGCAGCACAGAGAGATGAGAGAGCTGCTGGACCACAGCAACACAGCAGGTACACACACACACACACACACCAATCACAGCCCACTCTCACTTCATGGAGGTTCATGTTAATGTGACTCCGTCCGCACTGATCCTCTACATCTCTGCTGTTACAGACCGTACTGCTGGCAAAGCTTTGACAACAACGCTTATGTATATTCACGCTACTCACCATATCCGATAAATAAATATAAATGCTGCGTTTGCAAGTGGTTGGCTGGGGTTCACTGCTTGATCTAGGTTGTATGACCTCTCTTTGGATGCATGCTTGCACTCTTATTCTTAAGATGACGTTTGCTGAGGTCTGCAGCATGCTTGCTGCTACACACCGGTATTTCTCGTAACGGTAGATCGACCTCTTTTGGGACGCATGCTTGCATATTGAAAGCTGAAAGTCTACACTTCAACCACATATTGACTGCTTAATTTCAAATCCATTGGAGCAGTGGTTTGTTTTCTCTGGAACACCGTTTAGGTCGGGACATGGTGAGGTTCTGATGATTCTGCACGATGGATGAAATTGTAAGCCAACCATACAGGAGGAAGGATTTTAAAACGCATAAAATGTACAAAAGTACCCTGTATAGGGTTATAATAATAATAATAATAATAATAATAATAATAATAATACATTTTATTAATAGAGCGTGTTTCAAAATACTCAAAGACACTTTACAAACATTAAAATCATCATAAAAACTAAAAACATAGAACACACATTCGTCAGACATTAAAAGCAGTTCTGAAAAGGTGAGTTTTGGACCTCTTCCCCCACATCCCTGGCGGAGGCCTCTAAGGTAGTCAAAGAGCTCCTTGGTGGCAAGGCGCCGGGGGTGGATGAGAGCCGCCCTGAGATGCTGAAGGCGCTGGACACTGTTGGGCTGTCTTGGCTGACACGCCTCTTCAATGTCCCATGGGGGTCGGGGTCAGTGCCCAATATAATCATAATAAATATAATCATAATAATAAAAACTATCAATAATTTATAAAAGGCTGTCATCAGCTGTCAATCAAAGAAGAAGTCCAAAGCATTGTTTGTTTTTCAATGCAGGTCGTTGAATCCAACATTAATGTCATCGACATGGAGCGGGAGGACTCAGTCAGGGAATAATAAAGAATAAAGAAAGAAGGAACAATGATAGGACCACTAAATAGTAATAATAAGAAACATAATTAACATAATTGTATATAAGAGAAATAATAGCAAAACATAATGATAACACAACAACGCTAATTACATCACAGAAACAGTGACACGCGCACGCTGTCATATGTGTTTCTATGAAGCAGCTCTCAAGTTCAAGACTGTCCACAAATACAAGATTCAATACATGAGGATGAATCTAAAATGCAGAAATGAGAAAAGCGGTATCTCAATGATACTACTGGTAATATTGGTGTGTATATATATATATTGCAGCAGCCACACTGTCAAAATGTCTTGTTTTCTAGTTCTTAGCATAATGTTGCTGAGGTCTGCCGCGTGCATGCTGCTACACACAGATATTCCACATAAAGGTAGGATGACCTCTCAGGACGCATGCTTGCTCCCTTATTCTTAAGATAATGCTTACTAAGGTTTGCAGCATGCTTGCTGCTACAAATAGATTTTTCATAGTCCGGCTGATGCTTCGCGTGGGCGTTAGATCAGACTTGCCGTTTGAGAGAGCATTGAATTTAGCCTTCCAGGATTCAAACTTCTCGCCTAAAAACATCCTAAAATTACTTTCCGTGACTTATCAACAGTAGTATTTCGAAAGTTTCAACTTCCAGTTGTGTGTTTTCCCCTCCGCCATTGTTTCCTGTTGCTGGTGCAAAATGCATTCTGGGATATTTGGCTGTCCCAAGTAGAGACAAGTCACCTCCGATGTGTCCCTGGTAAAATGGGCGGAGCCACTGCCAGGCATTTGGACCGTGCTTGGCTCAATGCAGACTTTTGAATTGGAACAGTACTTGGGCTGATGACGTTTCACAAGTCAACACGAGAACACACAAGAACGCATATTGAGAAAGGCCCACAGTGTGTGTGTGTGTGTGTGTGTGTGTGTGTGTGTGTGTGTCTCTCTCTCTCTCAACAAAATGGCTGCTGATTCCCAAACTACAGCTCCCAGAATGCCTCACCACTCACCCAGGTGTAGGTGTTTAAGCCACCTAATTGAGGAGAGAGAGAGAGAGAGAGAGAGATATCATGCAAGGGAATGTAGCACCCCTCTAATACCTGGCCCCTTGTGGTGGCACAGTACACACTCACACACACACACAAGAAAATGTTTAGCGTGTTTGACGGTCCTCCCTTCGTTTCCATGGTCACAGGTATGTGTGCGATCCACCTGGCGGTCCTGGCCAATCAGCTGTCTTCCCTCAGAGAGCTGCTGGAGGGCGGGGCTAACGTGGAGGCTCAGGAGCTCACCTGTGGACGGACGGCCCTCCACCTGGCCACCGAGAGGGACAACGTGTCGCTGGCCGGCTGCCTGCTGCTGGAGGTACTGACTGGGTTCACTGGTTATACTGGTTCACTGGTTATATTGGTTCACTGGTTATACTGGTTCACTGGTTATACTGGTTCACTGGTCATACTGGTCAGGTTGTCCCCAGTAACATCTAACGGTGTGTGATGCTTTCTGTGCTCAGGGAAATGCTAAGGTGGACTGCTTCACCTTCAATGGCTCCACCTCCCTCCACATCGCTGCAGGACGAGGCTCCGTCAAGCTCACAGCTCTCCTGATGGCTGCAGGTACACACACACACACACCTGGAAGCATCTCAGAGCATAATCCAGAGCCAACGTACAGTGCAGAAACAATCGAATGCAATAAGTGCCACAAACTAATATAAAAACAATAAGTGCAATAAGCTAGTATGAATACAATAGATGCTAAGTAAGTGCTAAGCGGAAGGGTAGGCCTTCTTGAAGAGGTGAGTTTTCAGCCTGCGCCGAAAGATGGGCAGCGACTCTGCCGTCCTGACGTCAGTGGGGAGTTCATTCCACCACTGTGGGGCCAGGACAGAAAACAGCTGCGACCGGGTCGATCGGACGCAGGGACCTCTGAGCGACGGGCAACCAGGAGGAGGAGAGGTAGCAGAGCGAAGTGGTCGGGCCGGGGTGTAGGGCTTGACCATGGCCTGGAGATAGGAAGGAGCTGTTCCTTTCACTGCCCTGTAGGCTAGCACCAGAGTCTTAAACTGGATGCGGGCTCTTACAGAGTCAAAGAGTGATGGAGGGGAGGGAGACAAAGAGGGATGGACGAGAGGGAGACAAAGAGGGATGGA